TTCTGATTTTAGTACATGTGCTGCCAAAGCGAGCACAGCTGATTCTTGTTTACTCTCTGTCTTCCCATGAAGGGAGGAGCATGTTGGTGGTGTTCCCAGTGTCTAGCACAGTGAGTGGCAACAAAAGAAGTGTTTAATAAGTATTTGTTCAATGCATTAATATAGGAGTTTGGAGGAACAAAAGAAAATATGGCCAGCTTTTATTTAATCAAGGAGAGTCATAAAAAAATAGTCTTAAAAAACAGTCATGTTCTGTCATCACCCAGCTTTTGGAGCAGATAAGACAGGAAAGAGGAGGGTTGAAGTCTAGGTTTCCAGGTATGTGGGCACTTGGTAAGGCTAAGGAAAGTCCAACCTTGCTATCTAGACTAAAGATGATTTGTCCTTCCAGTGGTACTTGCTAAGGATATAATAAATTTGGATCTGTAATGAGGCTGCAAGGTATTTTTACAATTTGAATATCCATTTCCAGATTACACAAAGGACTGCTCAGGTGACCTTGAGTAGGCCATTTAGGTGAATTTCTGTGTTAGTTAAATGAATCATCCCTGTGTACAGAAGTGATGAGGAGGCTTGTTAATTTACATTTATAAACACACTTTGTTGGTTTTCTTGTTTGTTTTCATCTTTTCTATTATTTTAAAAAATTAACTTATTGTTGCAAGTATTATAGATGACCCCTTTGTTTGTGTGTTAGAGTTGTTTTTCCCCATTAACCCCCTCCACTCCATTCCCACCCTTTCCAGGCCTTTACCACTCTATTGCCTGTGTCCATGATTATATGCATACAAGTTCCCCGGTTTATCACTCCCCTCTTACCGTCCCACTTCCACCTTCCCTCTGAAATTCATCAGTCTGTTCCATGCTTCTATGTCTCTGGATCTATTTTGCTCATCAGTTTATTTTGTTCATTAGATTCCACATATGAGTGCGATCATGTGACACTTGACTTTCTCTGACTGGCTTATTTTGCTTAGCACAATATTTCCAGATTCCATTAATGCTGTTGCAATAGAGCTTTCTTTTCTAAAGCTGTGAAGTATTCCATTGTGTAATGTGCCTCAACTTTTATATTCACTCATCTATTGCCAGGCCCTTGGGCTGTTTCCACATCTTAGCTATTGTAAATTGTGCTGCTATGAGCATAGGGGTGCATACATTCTTTCTGGTTAGCTTTTCTGATTTCTTTAAGATATATTCCTAGAAGTAGGACCACTGGGTCAAATAGGAGTTCCATTTTTAATTTTTTGAGGAAACTCCATACTGTTTTTCCACAGAGGCTGTACCAGTTTGCATTCCCACCAACAATGCACAAGGGTTTCCTTTTCTCCACATCCTTGCCAACACTTGTTGTTTGTTGATTTGTTGTTGATAGCCATTCTGACAGGTCTGAGGTGATAACTCATTGTCATGTTAATTTGCATCTCTCTGATGATCAGTGACTGAGCATTTTTTCATGTGTCTTTTGGCCTTCTGTATGTCCACTTTGGAGAAGTGTCTACTTAGGTCCTTTGCCCATTTTTTAATTAGATTGTTTGTCTTCCTTTTTAGTTAAGTTCAATGAGTTCCTTATATACTTTGAAAATTAACCAATTATCAGGTGTATCATTGGCAAATATGTTCTCCCATGCAGTGGACTCCATTTTTGTCTTGATGGTTTCCTTTGCTGTGCAAAAGCTTTTTATTTTGATGTAGTCCCATTTGTTTATTTTCTCCTTAGTTTCCTTTGCCCTGGGAGAAGTATTAGTAAACATATTGCTACAAAAGATGTCTGAGATTTTGCTGCCTAGATCTGTGAAATACACCGTGGTATTTTAATAGGGATTACATTGAATCTATAAATTGTTTTGAGTAGTATGGACATTGTAATTATGTTAATTCTATCATTCCATGAACACCATATATTCTTTCACCTCTTTAGTATCTCTCTTCTTTAGTTTTCTGAGTACAGGTCTTATACTTCCTTGGTTATGTTTATTCTTAAATATCTTAATTTTTTTGTTGTTGTTCATGACTTACATTTAAGAATTTTATCCATTTGAGCTTATTTTTGTGGATGGTGTAAGCTGGTGAACTAGTTTCAGTTTCTTTGTATGTATCTGTCCAATTTTCCCAACACCATTTACTGAATAGACTGTCTTTACTCCACTGTATGCTCTTGACTCCTTTGTCAAATATTAACTGAGCATAATGGTGTGGATCAATTTCTTGAGTCTGTGTTCTGTTCCACTAATCTATAAGCCTGTTCTTGAGCCAGTCCCAGGCTATTTTGAGTACAGTAGCTTTATAGTATAGCTTGATATGTGGTATTGTAATTCCTCTAACTTTGTTCTTTTTTTCCCCTCAAGATTGCTGTAGCTATTTGGGGTCATTTCTTTCTGGTCTCCTTGTCACTAAGATCTCTCAAATCTAGTGCTGAGTAAGACCATGTCTTGGTCTGTTTGACTCACTATAACAGAACAGTATTGTTGGATGCTTATAAACAACAGAAATTTAAATATTCATTTACTGATTTGAGAGTTGGAGAGAGAGAGGAGGAGATAGATAGAGAGAGAGAGAGAGAGAAAGAGAGAGAGAGAGATCAATTTGTTCCCTTATTTATGCATTAATTGGTTGCTTCTAGTATGAGCCTGGACTAGGGCTTGGACCTACAACCTTTGTGCAATCTTGACATATCAGGATGACACTCTAACCAAATGAGCTATAATAACAGTCATTAACATAAATAACAGAACAATAACAGAAATTAGTTTTTACAGTTCTGGAGCCTGGGAAGTCCAAGATCAAGGAGCTGGCAGATTCGGCATCTGGTGAGAACCCACTTTCTGGTTCACACATGTCTGTCTTCTTACTGTGTCCTCACATAGTGGAAGGCTTGAGAGAGAAGTTTGTGGTCTCTTTTATAAAATCATCAATCCCACTCATGAGGGCTCTAATACCTCATCACCTCCTAAAGACACCACCTCAAAACTCCATCACATTGGGGATTATGTTTTCAATTTATGACTTTTGAGGGGACATATTCATAATATAAAATGGGCCAAAAGTAAGTTTACAGTTGTGAGTATGCAAACCAGTGGTTATGCTTGTATTGTTATTTATTAATTATTGGATTCTTTTCCGTAGAAACAACTGTAAACCTATTTTTAAACATTTAATATATTTACTTATTTATTTATTTATTTATTTATTTTCTTTGTTTTTGTTAATACTCACCTGAGGTTATTTTTCCACTGATTTTTCAAGAAAATGGGAGAGGGAAAGACAGAGAGAAACATTGATGTGAGAGAAACACATCGATTGGTTGCCTCCTGTAGTAGCCCTGACCGGGGCCTGGGCTGGGCAGGAGCCCGCAAGGTACATGCCCTTGACAGGAATCGAACCTGGGACCCATTGGTCTGCAGGCTGATGCTCTATACCCTGAGCCAAATGGCAAGGGCTGTAAACACTCTTTTGTCCCATCCTGCATAACACTTTGTAGCATAAAATATCCTGAAAATGAAATAGTTAAACAGGAACCCCTTTTCTCACTCCTCATCCTGAGGTGAAAGGAAAGATGCTTAATGGTATCCTACAGGAAGTCACATTTACAGGTCTACCCAATGGAAAGAATATATTCATTTTTAGTTTTGACCCAATCAGGAAGTCACTTTCACACCTACTGGGAGCTGTCCAAAACCCCTCTCAAAATGGCAGCAGAATAAAAGGCAGCTGGTTCAACAGCTCCAGTGTATGCTGACTTGCAGGAGGGGCAGGTAGAGCCAAGCACCGTGCAAACAGGAGGAGCTACCTTCCCACAGTAAAGAAGGCAGAGCAGCAGATACTTCCTAGAGAATCTTAGCGGAAAGCAAAGTGTCCTTAATAAGATTTTTAAGAGACATGATACTTAGTAAACTTGAAAAATATGAACCAGTAAAAGAAAAACAAAAACATATTTCTGGATTATAATCTAGTAAAAAGAACTTGGCACAAGACAAAACCTGTGTTGATACAAACAAAAAATCAGAGTGTGGGCAAAGCGAAGCAGAGCAATGCAGGCCACGCAAGCACAGAGAGTATGGCCTAGCTGCAGGTACTGGGGAGAATGGGTGCCAGATAAGCATTCATGCACACGCCACAGTGTAGTATTTAAAATGATTTATCTCTGTCTGGGTGGGCTCCAAGTTATCCAAGCACAGGATAGCTCTATAATCATCAACTGACAACCTGGTATTTGTCAGGCTGATGACTCGCCACAGGTTATTACCTTGAGCAACTCACACTCCTGAATATTGCTAGTATTAGAAAGACAATAAAAACTGTAAGATAATAGGCAGAAAATAACAGTTTTTGTTCTAAAGTGATGATATTATGGATGACTTTTCCCTCCTGTTTTCCAAATAATCCTAATGCTTATTATATTTTATTTCCAAAATAAGTAAATAAACATCAAATACAACTGGTACCAAAAAAATGAAGCAATATGCTCTAAAAATGCATTAGAAATCTTTCACTTTAAACTTGGGAGTTTTATAATTAAATTCAGCAACAAAATTACAAAATTCTATATAAATGGTGGGGATGGAGTGCCACGTGACTCATGAGAGGGTCTCAGAATGAAATCATCCTGAATATCAGTTAGCTCCTTCTACTTTTCTTTTTCTTTTTTATTTAGTAGAGGCCCAATGCACGAAATTCGTGCAAGAGTAGGCCTTCCTTCTCTCAGCTGCCGGCACCAGCTTCCCTCTGGCTCCTGGGACCCAGGCTTCCCTCAAAACCCTGGCTTCATCTGGAAGGCCGACCAGAAGGACATCCAGTCTAATTACCATATTATACTTTTATTATTATAGATTTATTTTAAACAATACGTTTTTTAAAATTTATTTTTACTGTTTAAAGTATTACAAATAGTAGTACCTATATCTCCTTTCCCCCATCTACTTTTTTTAACAACATGTTGCTTATTTCCCTACAAAGAAAATCTCATATTATCTCATATTATTTATGAAGAAAACTTTTACCTAAAATCTTTATATTCTTCTACTTGTCGTTTCCATGGACAGCTCTGTACATTTGTGATAATCTGAAGATAGTCATTCTCTGAATACCTAAGAATCAAATATTAACAAAGTTAGAAAATAAAGATCTCACATACGACTAAGCAAATATATGCATGTCCTAAAGGACACTTTTAAAATATACTAATTTTAATCCTCTTAAGTTTTTTTTCTAAAATAAAGGAGAAATAAGTAAATGTATACCCATTTCAAAACTTCTAAGAACATACAATTCACAAAGAATTACTATGCTGATTTAAGAATGTGTAATCTGAACCTAAGTCATATCTAGTATTACAAACAATGATAGCACATTTCTATCTTATGGCCATTTCATCTTAGCTTCAACTTATTGACAAATAAATGTATTTTATAAGTGTTTATTATAAATATATAGTTTATCATTTTTTTTAGAGTTTAGTTGATGAATTTATCTTGGGATATATAGATAAAATTTCTCCAAAAGAATCATCTTAAATTTTAAGTATGAACAGTATACTAAAAAAACAGATTGGGCTCAATCTGTAGGCACAGTGGTACAGTTACATAGGACCCCAGTACACCATAGATTTCCTTCTATCTGAAATTCCATCATCAAGTATCAATTCCTTTAATTACAGCTATTCTTTAGTCTGTAAGCGTTATCATTTAAAATGCAACTATACTTTTGGATTAAAAAAAAAACCCTTAAATTTTATTTCAATTAATACCTTAGTCATTACTTGCTAGCAATTTGAGAGCAAAGTTCTACAACAGGAAGAAAGAGTATATGTTGTGAAGGGGTGGAGAAGGAAGAGGACAGTAAAGAATCTTGTCAGGAAAATCACTCCCCTCGCCCCCATATAGCAAATTGCTGACTCAATCCCCAGTATGGGGGTTGCAGAAGGCAGCCAAAAGATGATGTTTCTCTCTCATCAATGTTTCTCTCTATCCCTCTTTCCTCCTATCTCTCCAAAAATCAATGAAAACATATTAAGAAAAAAAATAATACTCTCAATACAAGAAAGGGGGAAAAAAGCATTAAACCTAGTTCAACATTCAGCCATGACAAACACTCAACAAACTCAGTATGGAAGTGAATTTATACAAGTTGATAAAGGACATCCACAAAAAAAAAACAAAAAAAAAACAAAACAAACAAAAAAAAAACACCACAAAACAAACAAACAAACAAAAAAAAACACTTCAGCTAGGATCATACATAATTGTGAAGGACTGAATGCTTTTCCCCTAAGATCAGGATCAAGTCAAAGATGTCCACTCTCACCATCTCTATAACACACTGCACTGGACGGACGGCTAGCCCATACAATAAGGCAAGAAATAGAAATAACACCATCCAGATTAAAAAGAAAGAACTAAACTTTTTATTCAGAGAGAACATGATCATCTGAGAAATGCACAAAAAAAAGCTATTAGAACTAATAATTTAGCAAAATTTTCAGGATACCAGATCAAAATACTAAATCAATTATATTTTAATACACTAGCAACAAACAACCTGAATTAAATTTTTAAACAATTTAATTTATAGTAACATAAAAATATAAAATACCTAAGAATAAATTTGACTAAAGATGTGCAGGACCCATACAGTTAAATGTACAAAAATTGCTAAGAGCAATTAAAGAAGACCTAAATATATATAGCAATATGCCATCTCCATAGGTTAAAAGACTCAGGATTTATTAAGATTTTAATTTTCCCCCAATTGACTTATATGTTTGGCGCAATTTTAATAAAAAAAATTCTAGCAGTACTTTTTGTAAAAATAGAAAAAATGATTCTAAAATTCACATGGAAATTTTAAGATCTGGAATAGCCAACAGAATTTTAAAATGAACAACAAATTTGGAAGAGTTATACTATCTGATTTTAGAACTTACTACAGTGTTACAATAATCAAAGCAGTGCCTTATTTATATCAAGACAGATAATGAAATTAATGAAAAATTAGAAAAACCAGAAAGCTTTTCAACAAGGTAATTCAATGGGAAAAGGAAAATCTTTTCAACAAATGCTGCTAAAATGATTGGCTAGCTACCTATTTTTAAAATTCTCAACTCTTTCCTCACTCCTTCTACAAATATGAACCCAAATTGTACCATTAATCTAAATGTAAGAACAAAAATTGGAAAACTTCTAGAAAACATTTTTTAAAAAATCTCAATGTTCTTTGGTTTTGTACATATTTACACAAAATGTACAAACTATAAAAGATATCTATGTAAGTTAAATGTCATCAAAATTAAAGGTTACTTTTCAAAAAACACTGTAAAGAAAAAGAAAATGCAAGGCATGGATTAGAAAAAATATTTGCAAAACACATACCTGATAAAGAACTTGAATCCAGTGTATACAAAGAACTCTTAAAACTCAAAGATAAGACAATCAGCCCAATTAAAAATTTGGCACAAGATTTGAATATTCTTCACCAAAGATGATAGATGAATGGCAAATCACACATGAAAAGATGCTCAACAATACTATAATAGTTACTAGGGAAATATAAATTTGAATCACAATGAGATACCATTACATAGCCACTATAAAAACTAAAATTAAAAAGACAGACCATACTGACTTTAGCAAGAAGTGGGGTAACTGGAACTCACACACACCACTGGTGGTAATACAAAATATGCAACTACTTCATAAAGCCATTTTGTTTCTTCAAAAGGTAAACATATACCTGGCATGTAAGCCAGCTATTCCACTCCTATGTCTTTAGTAAAGAGAAATGAAACCTTATATCCACACAAAGATTTATACACTGATGTCCATGCAGCTTAACTTGTAATAGCCAAAACCGTAAATAATCTAAATGTCCATTCAGCCCTAGCCAGTTTGGCTCAGTAGGTAGAGCATTGGCCTGCGAACTGAAAGGTCTCAGGTACAATTCTGGTCAAGGGCATCGAACCCATGCCTGGGTTATGGGTTTGATCCCTAGTGGAGTGGGGGAATTGCAGGGGGCAGCCGATTCATGATTCTCTCTCATCGTGGATGTTTCTATCTCTCTCTACTTCTTCCTTCCTCTCTGAAAAGAAAAATAAATAAATAAATAAATAAATAAATAAATAAATAAATATCCATTCAGAAGTAAATGGATAGACAAATTGTGTAAACATACTATAAAATGTTGTTATTTGGTGATAAAAATGAAGGAATTATAGAAATCTATAGGAACATGCATCAATCTCAGAATAATTATCAGAATAATTATGCTGGATGAAAAAAAACTCAACTAAAAAAGGATACTCAATGTAGTTTCCATTCCAGGAAATGAAAACTAATCTATAGTGGCAGAAAGTATATCAGGGGTTACCTGGATATAAACACTAGCATGCAGTGGTAGGGAGAATAAATGAAAAGAGCATCTTTGGGTAGTAGATATGTTCAAATTAGATTGGAGTGTTGGTGTATACACTGTACATTTAAGTTATAGTTTGCTGTTCATCATTTATACCTAAAAAATATTTCAAATATTCACTACTGGGATAAAACGATATTTTCCATGGTAATATAACTAAGATAATAAGCAATACACATCAGCCATTGTTAGGGGATCAAATATCTAAAACTCAAAATTCTATGGACCTACAGTATATTTAAGTAAATATGTTTCTTTTAATTTATTTTGCAATTACAGTTGACATACAATGTTATATTAATTTCAGGTGAACAACATCGTGAATAAACAATTACATACCTTACAAAGTGATAATCTTAGTCTAGTCTCCATCTGACACTTTACATAGTTATTACAATGTTATTGACTCTATTCCCTATGCTGTATTTTACATCCTCGTGACTATTTAAATAACTGCCAATTTGTACTTAATCCCTTCACCTTTTTCATGAATATGCTGGTGCCAGAGGGAAGTCAGTGCCGGCAGCCTGGAAAGAAAGGCCTATTCTTGCACATATTTTCCTGTATCGGGCCTCTGTACTCCTATAATAGACTTTCTCACATTGAATTTCATTTTGCATTTACATGTTGACTTCCTCTTCTAGACTGTAACTTTCCCTCTGAGACCCTGAAAGACAAAGCCTAACACAATCTCCAGCTGATTGTTCTTGTTAACATGGGAAATATACATTTAAATATAAATATGAAATTTAATGAGGTTAAAAAAAAAACTACATTGAACAAGTTCAAAGCAACATTTACTTATTCCATGGCTTATAGCTTCTACTTAATAACTTTCCCCAATGCTGACTTTCACTCACTCTTCCTATTCACAGCTGTGGGAAAGCCTTGCCCTCCCTCCTTCAAGGTATGCATTGAAAAGGCTCAGACTAGAGTTCAGTAGTTAGTCACTTCAGCCAGTCCATTAACCCAAATTCATTCTTCCTACTTTCCCAATTTCTTAGCATAAAATTAAAGGAGTGTGCGTGTGTATGTAACCTGTTAAACTTTACCCTTTCTTAATGAGTAACCCATATGTTGAGTGCTCCCTCAATAGTAATCAGTGTTGAATTTTTGTATTTCAGCTTCCTCAGTAAACATCAATGTCAAATTTGCTGGAGATTTCACATAGGAAATGGAGGAAAAGAGGTTATGTTGCTAGGCAGTAGTAACTTAAAAAAAATACCATTTATTCTCTATGTTGTTTTGGTCAATTCTTGAACTTAAGAGTAATCTTTTCTCTCAACCCTCATTGGCACAGGATGGTGGCGGGACCATCTCTTTCCTCCCTCCATACTTTACTTCTCATTATTGTGCTCAAGCCAGCTCATAGATTGTGAGAATTGCCTGTTAAGTTTTCAAGAATGTTGTAAACAGGTTGTTAAACCATTTGTAGCTTGAAACTTGCCAAAGTAGAAATATTTATTCTATAAGAATCAGCAGGAGAAGAACCAAGATGGCGGCATAGGTAACCAACATGCCTCTCACAACCACATCAAAATTACAACTAAAATACAAACTATCATCCAGAACTGCAGGAAAGCTGCCTAAGTGGAAGTACTACAACTAGAGATGTAAGAAGAAAGCACACCGAGACTTGTAGGAGGGGTGGAGACATGGAACAGGCTGGTGTGGCACCCAG